TCCCTCCCGCCCTCCTGTCCTTCCACCACCTTCCATTCCTCAACGGACCGCGGCCAGGCGTCCAAGAGAAGAGGAGGAGGCGTCGGCCCTCGACTCAATACATCGATTCGCGACGCGAGGACCTGACTTAGGGCCTGTGGGAAAGTGATGGGATGGGAAGGGGGGTGCGTGTCTTCGGCGGCGGCCTGGAAGATGGCACGAACGTCCTGCAAAACCCCTGGCTCTGAGCTTGAGGAGACGAGGCGCAGGGAGGGGAAGTCCTGCAAAAGCAGGCTGAAAGAGTTTGAGACATAGAAAGAAAGTGTCAGCAGCATACGGATGCAGGAGCGTATAGTCCAGGGGACTCATTCTTCCGAGGTGTGACTTCATTCAAGGGAATAGATGGCAATGGAGGGAGGACAGGGAGGAAGTCCAAGAGTGCCTACCGCGAAAATGTCGACTGTCCAGAACCAGGTTGCCCAACAATAGCAACCATGGGTGGTACATGCGTTCCGCTAGCATGAGACGCCTCTGACTTGGTTGCGGCGACAATTGGTGCCAGGCAAGGTGGCACGTGCGTGTCTCGAGGGGCCGATAATGGTGTGGAGGGAGAGGGAACTAAAAATGCCGTGCAGGGCGAGGTAACAAGCCCACCCAGTGTCCAAAGGCTCCATGGCCAATGACATCTTCTTATTCGTGATGAGGGATGCATGCTGTTGTCGGTAGGGGCTGAAAGGAGGACAAGTTAAACTGCAGGTTGCTGTTGCTGTTGCCCTTTCCGGGCCTGGGGCTACGCGACGTTATGGACGGGCGGAAGTGAGTTTGGGTCGACCGTGCTGTATTTTTTTTTGTGTGCACAAGCAGACGGCCACGCTTTTAGTGGCCACATCAGTATTATGTGCCCATAAGGGTGTTCTTAGCATGTCATCGCGAAGTGTACGGTAAAGCGGTGGCATGGTCATAATTAAGTTAGACAGGCGCCTTGCTTGCAACGGGCTTCGACCTGGTATCCCATATACAGCGTATTTCGTCTAAACTCTACCACGGACGTCTCACACTGGACAGAGTAATGCCGTCGTTGCCTGCATTGTCCCCTTCAACATTTCTCCACCGGTCCTTTTACTTCCTTTTTGTTGCCACCATGCTTCTCCTTCATGTCTCCAAGGCCTTCCATAAGCCTCTTCCCTTCTCACTCCTTGCCCCCCGCCGTCCTCACCACCGCCGTGCCTTACTCCGTACACTCGTAGCATCTGCTTCCTCTTCATCTCCCCAAAACCAAAAGGTGGGCTTCGTCGGCTTGGGTTACATGGGAGCCGGCATGGTCCGTCGCCTCCTCGAGCGAGGGGACGACGTGATTGTGTGGAATAGAAGTCTGCGCAAGAGCGAAGCCCTCTTAGCCGAATACCCTGCGCCCCGCGTGACAATCGCATCGACTCCCAGACAAGTCCTGGAGGAGGCAGGTCTCATGACCTTTTCCATGCTCTCCACTCCCGAAGCCGCCCATGCCGTTTTTGAAGGGCCCGACGGCGTACTGGCCGGCGTCGGCCCTGGGACCAATTTGGTGGATTGTGCCACCTTGGAGGTGAAAGACATGCAAAGCTTCGACGCTGCCGTACGGGAGAAGGGCGGTCGTTTCCTCGAAGCGCCCGTGTCAGGGAGCAAGGTACCGGCAGAACAGGGGCAATTGGTATTTTTGACGGCGGGGGACCAAGAATTGTTCCAGCTTGCACAACCCTACTTAGAAGCAATGGGGAAAGCGAATGTCTTTCTGGGGACCACGGGAAAGGGAACGGAGATGAAGCTGGTCGTGAACATGGTCATGGCGACCATGATGACGTCCCTGGCCGAAGGCTTGAATTTGGCGGGAAAGGCCGGCATCGACCCAGCGGAAGTAGTGAAGGTCCTGGGTTTAGGTGCCATGGCCAATCCGATGTTTGCTCTGAAAGGGCCCAAAATCATCCAAGATGACCACACCCCGAATTTCCCCCTAAAACATGCCCAGAAAGATTTGGCCTTTGCGTTGACTTTGGCGGGACAGCTGGGTGCCCGGGTGCCGACGGCGCAGGCGGCGGACGAGGAATATCGAAAGGCATTAGCGGCGGGGGAGGGCGAGAGAGACTTCTCTGCAGTAGCTCACAGGTTGATGGAGTGAGACTGGGAGTGTTGGGGCGGTTGCCTCGGCGGCCACCGCTTTTTGACATAGGAAAGGATGGATGAGCTCGTAGGTCAAGAAAGTCTTCACGTCAGGGAAACAAAATTGGTGGTATAGCTGTCATTTTAGCCTTGAAAAGGGTAGAAGCTTCTATCTATTTTTGGCATCCGTCTCGCTTCCGTCTCGCCATTCCTTCCTATTGCTTTTCAATCTCTATCGAGATCTTCTCAGGGCTCTCAAACCCTTCATAATTCCCTAACTGCCTCCCTCTCCCCACTCCACCACATCTCCCATCCGTATGCTGGTCGTTCTAACACGCACGCTGCGTTTTTCGTCTCGCAGGAAACAAGAAGTATCCGCTTTGTCACAGGCGAACACGTGCTATGATCGCAACAGAGGATTCGATAGAACGACCGCTACTCATGCTGTTGTTGCCCTGGTTGCTGCTGCTGTTGATGTTGCTGCTCCTG